GGCGGGGGACCAGGCAGGGGGACCAGGCAGGGGACCAGGCAGGGGGACAAGGCGGGGGACCAGGCGGCCCTGCAGTGGGGAAGAATGTTCCTGTGGGACAAGAGCTCTGGGCCACCTGGGGGAAGGCGCAGAGGACCGTCCTCTCAGTCCTGGGTTAGAACAGAGACGTGCAGAGATCAGGGATCAGGAAGGACTCCAGACCCGGTGGCCTCCGCAGGAGCCCGAGGCGGGGGCTGGATCCCGGGCCATGCGCTGGGTCAGCTGAGTGGTCCTGAGGGAGGCAGCCTGAGCCTCCGATTCCCCAGGTGCCGGCGGGGGGACAGCGAGGGAGGCTCACGTGGGGCCTCCCTTTCCAGCAGCCCCCTTGGCCCAGGGTGTGGGGGGGAGGGGGAGGGGCCGGTCCAGGGCTGAGCTGGAAGAACCTGCAGGTTGAGAGCAGGCCCCCACCCCACGCCCCAGGGGATGGCCCAGGAGCGCAGCCCCCGCCCAGGGGAGGGCGGAGGGGCTGGGCCTGAGCCGGGGTCGGGGCAGAGGATGGAGCCTTGGGGGAGAGACAGGCAGGTCAGAGCCGGGGAGACAGGCCCTGGGGTGCAGCAGGAGGGAGGCGGGGCCTGTGCCCCCTGGGATGGGCGTCTGGGTGCAGGGGGCTGGGGGCATCCAGCTGGGCCAGGGCAGCCCTAGGAGCCGGGCTCCTCACTCCACTCCCTCCAGCCTCCCTGCGGAGGCAGGGCTGGTGGCCTCCCCGAGGTCCTTCTTGGAGAAGAGCTGGGGATTCCTGAGGGGAAGCCGAGCTAAGTAGTTCTCAGCACTGACATCATCGCAGTCTGGAATGTTCCCTTGGGGTCCCCCCGGGGGGGGGGGGTGGGGGGGCGTGTAGCCATGAGGCCGCCAGGATGCTGGGTTTGTCCTGTCAGACCTGCTGACACCTAGCATCTAGAAGACAGGCCTGGGCCTCAAGTGAGAGCTATGGTCACCCGGGCCCTCAGGTCAGTGTGGGAGAAGCCCAAAGGGGCCCTGGACTCCACTCTGATCAGGTCCATCCCATCCCCTGCCTTTGAAGCCCCCCCACCCATGGCTTTAAGCTAAACTCCTGGCTCCTCACCTCAGCCAGGGGCTGGGGATCTGCTCTTGCTCCTGCCTCATCAAGCTGGCCCTCCCTGTCTCCACCCCCCCCCATTTGCATTGCAGGAACACAGCAGGCTCGGCCACCTCAGGACCTTTGCATGTGCTGTGCCTCCGTGTTCTTCTCCCGATCCTCCCAGAATTCTGCCCTAGGCATCGGCCTCCACTCCAGCCTGCCAGGCCTCCCTGCCCTTCTCCGTGAGCATCCTGTCCACTTCATGGTGTTCCGCATTGATACGGATGCTGGCCTTCTCATGGGGCTCTCCGAGGACAGACACCAGGTCACTCATCACTGCTGTGTCCCCAGGGACCTCTGCCAGCAAGCACCATGGAAGCAGCTCGAGCCATTTGCAGCATGGGTTCCTCCTGGGAGGGACCCACTGACCCGGGTCCCCAGCCCGTCCCTCCCAGTGTTGCCTCACAAGGTCCTCTCTGTGTCCTCAGCCCCACGGGGTGACCTGGCTGAGACGTGGTCATGAATCACTGGCCAGAATCTGGTTGCAATCACCTCTTGGCTGGCCGTGGCCACCGAATCAGGGAACCTAGGTGTCCTGCAAGACAGTGCCCAGGACTGGGGAGGCACCTGCGCCAGGGACCTGCTGGGTGGCCTTGGCAGGCCGCTGGCCTCCAGGTGGCACAGTCGGCCACCCACGGGGATGGAGGAGCTGGTGGAGATGGGGTCTTCGGCTGGGATCCTTGGGATGTGACTGATTCTCAAGGGGACGGCTGGGGAGGGGGAGGTCCAGCGCGGCTGACCGTCCCCGTCTGAAGGCCAAGGGCCGGGTCTTGTGGGCAGGGCTGGGAGGAGCGGTGGGGGTGCCAGGTCAGCAGGTCCCACGGGGAGGCAGGCCTGGTGTCCCGAGGAGTCCACCAAGAGGCCGGCCTGCAGAGGGAGGGGACGGCAGACCTGGCCTAGGACCCGAGGGCCTGAGGTCCACGAGTGTCCCCGGCTGGAGCTGCTTCCAGGGCACAGCCCACCAGGCCGGGTCCTCCCCGTGGGGAAGGGGCCATGGGCTCCCAGGTCGCGGGAACCTGTGTCAGGGGTGCTCTCAGCCGGGCAGCCATGTCACCCCACCCACCTCGTGCTGTCCTCCACGGTCAGATGCCGCTGGACGGGCCGCAGCCTCCAGGTCCCAGCCTCCTCTCCACCAGCTGCCAGCTGACCTTGCGACACGCAGGCTGGATCGTGACCCTGCGCTGCCCTCTGACCTCCCTGACTCTCACCCCTTGGGAACAGACTGACCCCCTCGCCACCTGTAGGTGCCCATCACGGTGTCCCCGTCCCCCTCCTGTCTCCCTCCCCCACCCTCAACCTGCGGGACTTCCTGGGGTTCTTTCTGCATTTCCTGCTCCCGCCTGGTCCAGGGCCTTTGCCTCTGCTGCCGCCTCTGCCGGGAAGCCCTCCTCCCTTCTCTCCCAGGCAGCGCCCAGGCTCAGACCAGGGACTCTCCCTCAGGGTGCTGCGGGGACCCACCCGGGCTGGCTGCTAGGGCCCCCGCAGCGGGAGTCCCTCTGGGGCAACTGCCTCTGCAGACAGGCGCCTCCTCACCTGGGAGGTCCTCCCACCCCCAGGCGCAGACGGGACACAGCCCAGCACCGATGAGTCAGGGGCACGGGAGCGCAGCCTCCCCGTCCCGCAGGCTCGGCCCTGGGCCGGCCACACTCCAGATCCTCCACCGTGGGCTCCGCGAGGCCGCGTCCAGCCCTGCCCTGCCCTGCTCCCCTCGCTCCCTCTCTCCCGGGGCATGTCCTCATGAATCACGCGCACCCCAGCCTCTGCTCTGGGACATCTGCTTCTGAGCAACCTGAGCCCAGACACGTCCCCAGAACGTCCCTTCCCACCACTCCCCGCCCCTGCTCTGGTCCCGTCTGCGGGGATCTCTCTGGCAGCCCTCACGGTGGCCATGTCTCCGCGGTGGCCAGATGAGTGCTGGGTTGAAGCCCGACCCCCACTCCAGAACGTCAGGCAGGGATGGTGTTGACACGCTCTGCTGTGTTCCCAGTGCGCATCACGGGGCTTGGCACACAGTGGGGGTTCAGTAAATATTTGTTGAATGAGTGAACAAACAGTGGGGTGAGTTGGAGGCACTGCTGTTAGGGCTCCTGATTCTACAATCTCCACTCAGGCTCCTCAGAGCTGCATGATGGCTGCCAAAGCACCTGCCATCTCGTCCTCACACTGCTGAAGCTAAGGCAGGAAAAGGCCCTCCAAAGGAGAAACCTGTTCCAAGGAGCCTGGGCAGCTTCTCCTCCACCGACCACACCTACATTCCATGTCTAGCCTCAGCCAATCGCTGCAAGGGGAGGGAGAGGGCCATGTTTGACTTGGGCCAATCAGCATTGGCTTCTGGGCTCAGTGGGCAGAGCCTACCCTGGCCAAGGAGGAGGACAGCTGGCTACAGCTGCAGGCCCCCTGAACCCAGGCGCTTTGAGTGTCCCCAGGGCTTTGGATCTCCGTCCCCCTGTCCTCCTGTCCCTCCTGTCCTCCGTCTCTGGGGAGCCCATGGGTGGCGGGTGTGAGGGGAGGGGGGCTGGGCAGGGGTCTAACAATCCAGGCGGCCAGACACCTTCACCTGGGTCAATATTTACGGAGCCCGGAGGGAACGGGGCCCAGGAGGGCTGTAGGAAGAGGCAGCCCACAGCCAGAGAGGCCCAGAGACAGGACAGACGGCTGGTCTGACAGCCAGGAGGGAGGCCAGCGGGGTCTGGGGGCAGGGCCTTGGCTGCAGGCGCCCCCTCAGGCAAGACCAGTAGCCCCACCTGGGCGTGTCCCTTCTCCAGCCTGGGCCGTGGTGTCCCCCTCTGCCAAGTGGCGCCCCTCAGGGAGATCACCATGGGCCTGGTGGCCTCCTGTGACCTGTGGACAGCCCTGCATGGTGGGTGGGAGCTTGGGCCTCAGGGGACAGCAGGCACGTGCCCAGGTCACAGTGGTAGTGGCAGACTGGAGCCTGTGTGCATGCGTCGCCCCAGGCCAGGAGGGGCTGGGAGGTGGGACGGGGACTCTGTGTGCCAAGGGCTAGCAGCAATGGCCGCTGGGTCCCAGTGTTCCCGGGCTGGGCGTCGGCCGTGCGGGAGGCAGGCTGACTTTCCTCAGCTCCTGGTCCTCACTTCACAGGGAGGACGCCTCAGAGACTGCCCAGCAGTGGGGTGCAGGGCCTGAGGGCCCACAGGCCCGGAGCCCAGCCCCTGGTCCACCCTGACAGGCCAGCTGACCTGGACGGCCACGTCTTCTGTCCCAGCCTCAGTTTCCCCACTTGTAACACAGGAAACCTCAGTTGACCCGCTGACGTGTGGACAGTGAGGAGTGCACAGGGGACCTGCCCACGGGCCAGGCACACGCAGGTGCCCAACAGGGTTGGCCGTGGTCACATTATTAAAATCACTTTTGAAAGGTCCTTTAATCGCACTTTTTTCTGGAGAAAAAGCTGAGGGCCAGAGAGGGCCACTTGCTCAAGGTCACCAGCCAAGGGGAGGCTGAGACTGGGCCGCTGTGTGCTCTGAGGCCCTGCCACCTGCAACGACCCACTCCAGATCCAGTCCTATGGGGACGATGTCCACGGCCTGGCCTGGCGTCCCTGGTGCTGGCCACGGCTACCCACGGTGGCGTTGCAAAATCCTTCTCCCTGTGCCTGTTGATAAAGGGACCCGTTGCAAAATGCAGCGGAGAAATTATTCAGGGTTGTGACATCCTGTGGCCAGGCCCCGGTGCCCCTTCCTGCCAGGCCTGGGTGGGGCCAGCTTCTGGCTCTCCTTGCCTGACCCTGACTGTGGGATGCTAGGTTGGGGGCCACAGGGGACCCAGCCTGGTCCCCTGTCACCCTCTGCCAGACCTTGGGCTGCCCTTGCCCGTCTCTTGCCTCAAGTCCAGTGACCGGGCGGGAAGTCCTGTGGGCGCTGCCCGTACCAGCTCTGAGGCCGCAGGCCCCTCCACCTCCACGTCTGACAGAGCCCCGGCCGCTCCTGCTGGGACGGCTGCAGAGGCCTGCCCGTGGGTCCCCTGCTCCACCCTGCTCTGCCCAGGCAGCCCGTGCTGGGGGCCTGTCCCTTCTCTGTTTAGAGTCCTCCTGGCCCTGGCCGTTGGTCCCCACTGTGACCTCCTCCCCGTGCGGGCCTGGTGCCGCGGTCCTGGGCTCCCTGGGCATCCAGCGGCTCTCAGAGGTTCCCTGGGCCTGCGACGGGGGCCAGGAGCGGTGGGTGGAGCCCGTCGTGCGTGGCAGGCCCCTTTCTCAGCCACGTGGTCCCTGCTGCCTGCACCTGCCTCACCCTCTCCCCTGCGTCCCCCAGTCCTGGTGTATTCTGTTTCCTATTTACTGTTGGTCCCTCTGTCCCCCAGGGCTCTCGAGGACAGGGCTTGGTCTGCCCCCTTCACCGGGTCCCTCCGGTGCCCAGAGTCCCCATGAGGCGGTCCTGACAGCCGGACCAGGGTTTGCACTGACCTCCATGTCAGGGCCAGTCCTGGCCAGGAGGGAGCCGGGAGGAGCCGCCTGGACCCACTCGGCCTTAATCATGCCCCTTCTCCTAATGACACGTGTTATAATGGGCACCCGGCGCTAACCTGGTGTGACGTCTGGGCTTTTGACAACAGATACCATCAGCGCCGCAGCTGGAACTCCTTCTCCACCTGCGTCCCCTCCCACCCAGATGGGTATCAGCTTCCTCGCCAGGGGGAGGGCCGGCTCGCAGCCCCGCCCGCCGCAGCCGCCCGGGAGGCGGTAATAGCTACTCCCACCTGGGGAGGCTGGCGCTCCCTCCCAGCCTCCGTCCCAGGCCGCGGCAGGACGGGCCTGCTCCACGGGCCAACGCCACCACCAAGGGCCCAACCCGCGGCCCTGGGCTGCTGGCTGAGAACCCTGGTGTCCAGCCAACTCTGGAACCAGGACGCTCAGATTCCGGCTTCTGACAAGGGGGACGCAGGAGCCCTGGGCTCACAGTGCAGGGGCTGAGGGTGGCTGCCCCAGCAGGCAGGATGTGACTGTCACCTCCCAGTGTAGCTCCTGGCCTGAGGGGTGCTGCGTTCCCAGCCTGCCCTGCGGCTCAGGCCGCCACCTGAAGCAGGTCTTGGACAAGCACCTATAGCTGCGCGCTGGGGACAGTGACCAGGCACGTGGTGCCTCCTGCTCCTCGCCCCGTCACCCTTGTTGCGGGGTAACGGGATGTGTTAGGGACAGGCCCCCGCAGGTCCCCTGGAGGTGGCCAGAGGCAGCATCCCCAGCTGCTCAGCCATGGCCAGGACGGAGGATGGTTCTGGAAGGTTCCAGGGCCTGGACGCAGCCATCTTGGAAGGAAGACAGTGTTCCCCACCATGGCCGCCCCATCCTCAACCTGGCCCTGGAGCAGGAAGGGGGAGCAGGCAGGCTGACGGGGTGGGGACCCTGGGGGTCACAGGGGAGTCCAGAGGGCTCGGTGGCATCCTCCAGACAGCGCGGGGCCTTTCTCATCCTGGATGAGCCAAAGGCGACTCACCAGGCTCTCCCACTTTCCCCTTCTGAACACAACCCAGGGAAGGAGCACGCAGCCCGCTGGCCAGTCCAGGCGGGAGACCTTGCTCAGCGGCCTGGGAACCAGCTGGGCTGTGCTTCCCGCCTCCACAGTGCCGCCTCTGGCCTGGAGGAGGAACTGCAGCCTGCACCTCCACCCCCACCCCTGGTCCTCAGCAGGGGATCCACTTGGGTCACTTTGACCCCAGCGGCCACTGCAGACTAGCTGGCTTCCCAGGAGCCACATCTGAGGCGCATCAAGCATCCTGCACGCTCGGGCGGCCCGCTCCCCACTGACGCGGGGGGATGAATAACAGTCTGAGCTATCATGTGCGTCTGCTAAAAATAAACTTGACATACTTTCGCGTTGGGAAACAATGTGGATTCCAAACATTCTCCAAGGGCAGAGGGGGGAAAGGAAGAATGGAAATCGAGTTCTTGAGCTTAGTAATTAATTAGGGCCTGTAAACAAATGATTCATGCTCTTTCCTGGCTGTTTTTCTTTCCATTCTGCGTGGATTTTCGTAGGGTAAGGGAAGGAGGCCAAGGACAGAGGCCCATAGTGTGGCAGAGCCCAGGGGACCCGGCTGAGCAGGCATCAGCCAGATGGAGTGTGAGGGAGCCCTTCAGGTGGACGGGAGGCCCTGGGCAGCGGCTCTGAGAACCAAGAAGTCCGGTCTGTCCAGGGACCATGAGGCCGTGCGGCTGGACCTGGGGGAAGGGGTTGAGGTCAGAGGGTCCACAGGGCCCCGGCACCCAGAGCCGAGTGGCTGTGTTAGAGTTGATCCTGAAGGAAGTGGGAGCCAGGGAGGGTCCTGAGGGAGACGGGTGACCCCTTCCAGGTGAGCTGTCTGGAGTGTCCGTTATTTGGACTTCCGGGCGATGGTCCGGGGGTCGTGTCTCTTAGAGGTGTACTTGCTCCAGGCCTGTCTCCTCCCTATAGAGCATCAGCCTCCTCCTGGGGGGCCCTTGTTGGCTCCCGTGTCACTCCTGTGTCCCCAGTGCCTAGGTCATGGCTAGGCACAGACAGGAGCTCGGCTCATGCTGCAAAGTGACCTCTGCTGCAGAGTTGGTGGCTTTGTTCCATTTCACAGGACAGGGGGCTCTCCATGGACGGTCCTCAGAAGAGGCAGGTTTCATTGAGGAGCAGCCTTAGGCGGGAAGTCTGCTCTGCACGGGGCTCGGGTGCCCAGCATGGGGGCCTGCAGGGGCCACGCTGCCTCCTCTCTGCTTTGCAATGTCTCTGGGCTGCCTCCAGCAATCTGTGATGGTGGCATGTGGGTATGTGTTGTGCACAGAGAAACCGGGGCCCAGGGAGCAGGGACACGTTCAGAGTCACATGGGTACAAATGGGGCCTGTTTTTAACCCCTCCAGCTTTATCCCTCGGAGCCTGTGGGAGCCTGTGGGACCCGAGGCAAGTCACTCTGCCTTTCGGAGCCTCTTTTACATGGACATGGGGGCACTGCCTTGTGGCTGCTGGGTGGAGGTGAGGAGGTCCCCTCCAGGTGCTCCTGCTGTGGTCACCGTCCTGGCTGTGAGGCCTCCCAGGCCAGCAGCCCCTCGGAGTGTGCCCAGCACTTCTCTGCCCCCAGGTGTCCCTCGCCCACACCACGAGGCCCGCCCTCTGCTGCCTCTTCCTCCTTTTCTTGGTAAAACCGCTGCTTTCTCTGATGGCCAAAGGTCCTCCCGGGAGCAGGGGACCTGTCACCCACAGAACCGCCTCCGCTGTGGGCTGAGGTCACCAGGCACGGGGTTGGCGCTGGGGACATGGTCATAGTTGGGGGTTGTCAATCATCCTGAGGGGGGCAGGGCTCTGTCCAGGGTCCTCTGGGGGGCACGGCTGGGGGGCAGATCTCTCACCTGGGAGAGGCGCTGCCCGCTGCCCGAGCATGTGGAGAAGCCCCCGGGCGCTGGGGCCGTGCGCAGAGGGCAAGGCAGGGTCTGGGAGGCAGCCTGGAGGAGGTGGCCTGGAGCTGTCTGGGCCACGGGCGGCTCACCTGGGCTTCAGTCCCACTTCTGCCCCTTTCCCGCTGGGTGACGGGGTCAAGTTCATGTCCCCCTCTGAGGTGACGCCAAGTGAGCTGGTGCAGATGAGGGTCCAGATCTGGGCCAGGCCCGGCCAGTGCTGGCCACGGGACAGCAGCACTCATCCTCCCTGCAGTCTGTGGAAAGTACTGGAACGCCAGCTTTCCCGGCCCGCGCACAGCCCCCAGCCTCAGTCCTCTCACCTGCGCAGGAGGTGACGTGACTTTGAGAGGTCAGTGGTGAGGGGGAAGCCTGTGAAGCCACATCAAGTGCCCGGCACCATGCTGGGCGCACAGTGGGCGCTGGGTAAGTGGTGGCCAGCGTCCTCCGGCCCGTGGCTGTGGGAAGAGCAGGTTTGAGGTCAGGTCCACCTGGGCCGAGTCCTGGCTCTGCCCTGAGCTGCGGTGGGGACCAGCTGGGACCTCGAGCAGAAGGGTCCAGCTTGGCACCCAACACAGAGCAAGTACCATCAGGGGTTTGCACCCAAGCCCGAAGCGAGGCCTCGTGGTAAGGTGACTTCCCTCCTTTGTGAGGCGGGGTCATCCTGCCCCAGGGAACAGGCTCAGCAGGCGCAGTGGCCTGGGGCAGCCTGGGCACCCAGTCTCTCTGCGGGTGGGGTCTCGGGGCCCAGGCACTGGGGTCTCGGGGAGCAGGCACTGGGGTGTCGGGGCCCAGGCACTGGGGGTCTCGGGGCGCAGGCACTGGGGTGTTGGGGCTCAGGCACTGGGGGTCTCGGGGCACAGGCACTGGGGGTCTCGGGGCGCAGGCACTGGGGGTCTCGGGGCGCAGGCACTGGGGGTCTCGGGGTGCAGGCACGGTGGGAGTCCCTTGGAGACTGAGGCCTGCAGCACGTGAAGGGACCTGGGTCCAGCGATGCCCTCGGGTCCCCTGCTCACACTGGGGGCTGGTTGGGGTCCCCCCCCCGCCCCCGTGGCCTTGCTCCTGTCCAGCACTTGGATACATTGTCCCAGCTGTCCCGCCCGCCCCTGAACTTCCTGCGTGAAGGATTCTCTGCTGAGAGGCCGACTTTCTGCCTCCCACAAGGGAGGCCCTCTCCCGCCTGGGCTGCAGCTCGGCCTCGGCTGGTCGGGTGCGCGGTTCTGGATCTGCGGGAGTCTGTCTGCCTCCGTCCAGAGGCCTCCATGTGCAGGTGGTGTCCCTCCGGGTGCAGGACCCCCACGGCTCCCCATTGCCCTGGGATGAAGCCCAACTCCTTCCCGCTCCCCAGGTTCCCCGTGATGGAGGCCCGCTGGCCTCTCCTCCTCAGTCCTCTAGCCTCGTGGGCCTCCTGTGGCTGCACTGACTCACGGAGCGCACACCGCCAAGGGCAGGGAGCTGGCGGGCCCTTCTGCTGCTGGGTCCCTGTGTCCCAGGTGAGGGGACAGGGACAGGAAGGGGGCTGACTGCAGGGTGGAGGCGGAATTGGAACTGAGGCGGGTCGGCCTCTGCCGCAGCCTGAATGGCCACCTTCCTGCAGGAGTGACAAGTGGCTGCCCCTCAGGGGGGCACCGCCGTCCCTGCCCGCTCAGCTGCCTGACTCCAGGGCGGGGGTGGGCAGGGGCGATGTCCCCCCGGGGTGGACGCCGACTCCTGTGGGTGAAGGGGCCCAGGGAGGGGCCTCGGCTTCTCGATTCCCTCAGTCCCTGCTCTGGGAAGTCAGCGCTCTGTCACCTGAACTCACGCGCCCGGGTGCCCCGGGGACCGCCTGCGTGGGCTCCGAGCACCTCCGTAGATGGAACCCACCACCCCCTCGCCCCACCCGAGCTCTGCTCGCCTCAGTCAACCCCGCGTAATCCTCCTGTCACCTCGCCCGGGCCACCACCCAGCCCTGCCCACCCCCCGCCCGGCCCCCCGGGGCTCGTGTCCCCCCAACTCACCCCGCTTGCAGGCCGCTCCCCAGACGCCCTCCAGGCCCTGTGGGAAGACGCTTTCCCTCTGGTCCCAGAGCACCCCTCTAGCTGGGGACTCTGAGGGGTCCTCACAACAGGTGCTGGGATTCGGGAGCACAGGGTGCAGCCCTGTGAGCCCCAGATGATCCCATCAAGGAAGAGGCGTGATGGGGGAAGAGCCTTCCGGGGAACAGGAGCAGCATGTGCGA